CCCTGTCTTCCCGCTCAGGGGATTGGGTACCTGCATGAATGTTCTGCTGCCCCAACCCTCCCTTAAAAATAAAAAGCCAAAGCCCTTGATGAGAGCGAATGCGTACAGAAGGATGAACCCTCCCATCACAACCGATAGGGCAGATATAGGCTTTTTCTAGAAAAGTTGTCTGTAGATTAATAGATCATATACTGCAGGACAGCAGCTCGATAAATAGCACAGTCTGCAAACATCAAGAGGGAAGCTGGATCTCAGTCGATTTCTCCCTCCCCCCTCTAATTTCATCCAACATGTTTCATTTTAATTGCAGTCAGCATTTAATTGAAAAATAACATCTAGGAAAGCATGTACTAGTCTCATGCTCAAAAATGCCCAAGATTTTTACAAATCCTTCACCTATTCTCATGTATCTGAGTCATCCATATGACTTATTTTGTGATTTATTTTTCAGGTGGTCACATAAACCCAGCTGTTTCATTAGCCATGTGCGTGACTGGAAGATTAAAATGGACCAAATTACCAATTTACATATTAGCACAACTCCTGGGAGCATTCGTTGGAGCAGCGGCTGTCTTTGGGATTTATTACGGTGAGTAGACCTTAGACATGCTTGCAGGACAAACTAGAGGTCAGGCAGTCTCTAAGGCCCCAATTTTTCAGTGAATGCCAAGCAGGCAGAGGACTCTCTTCACATAGGGCTAACGGCAGGACTGCAACTAAAGCCATAAAGAAGATAGGAAGAAACGTAAAGAGCTTGAAGGAAAAAAAGGCTCAAACATTCCAGGTATCCTACAACTTTTCTGAAACATTAATACTCCAGGAAACGTTCTGAAATTTAGAAAAATTATATATGGGAAATCAGATACTCTGAGATCATGTATTTCTCAGTAAGGATTTTAAATTACTTAATAGCCAGGATATAGGGCTATTCATCTTCCAAGCCAATTAGAAACATTAAAGACCTGATCCAAGTGCCTGTAGGCAAGTATCACTAACATCGTTCATTGAGGCTACAGGATATGAGATCAAGTGCCTCCTGACTAAACTTCAGGTCACCCTAGAGAGGTAGCTCTCAAAGGCAATGAACTCCAGGTAGAGAAATAAAAGGGTCACATATTAAAAGGGAAAAAATACCCAACAAAACAACCCAGTTAGCCCTGTCCTTGAGGCATGTTTCTTTTACGTGATGTGCAACAAAGGGAAAAAACTTAGTAACAGGCTCCCTGACTTGATGAATCCACTCAGTCGGATCAGTTGCTTCAATCACCTACTCCAAAACTCTGCTTCTACTGACCCAGCCCATCTCCTCCAAAGCATCTCTCTTACGGGAATTATGTCTCAAGACTGTGCTGGGTCTAGGTGCAACAGAAAAAATGAAACTGGGAAGGCCCACTCTACATCAGCTATGTGCTCAGTACCAGCAGTAATCATGAATGGGAAAATCTTCAGGAACTGTGGTAACCGGTTTGGGTTTGGTTTATGGGCAGGGGGATAGGGATGAGTCGTTTGTTTTAAGGTTAGTGTTAGAATTTGGAAACTGTGGGATTCCAGAACAGGATTTCCATCTGAATCTAAGTCCTCCTCAAGCCAGCCAGCCAGAAGTAGGGCTGTGGCCAGGATGCAGCAGTACATGCACACAGGTTGAGGGAGGATTCATTGTGTTCTGCCAGTGACAGGGAGCCAAGATAGGGAACTTGGAGCTAGGGTTAGTGTCAGAGATTTCTTCCTGTTATTCAAGAATGCAGAATTTTCTCACATCCCTATCTCTGCTCAAGTACTTTGCCCTCCCCTTGTTCTTATTAATTCCCAAACCTCTTCTGTACTTTTTCCTTCCTGCAACTTGCAGGAGTGTCTTGCACTCATTGAGGTCCAGTGAAAACTCACTGACAGAAAAACAGACACAGGAGCTCAACACCTCCATCTTCCCCACACACAGATATCTGAGCTAGGTGCTTTCCTTTTCAGTGATGTCCCTGAAAGAGTGAGGCAATATATATGCTAGGCTGCTAAACATGAGGCCTTTCTGAAGGTGAACAAAGTAATTCACAGCTAAGAAACTTCTGCTTATCCTTTTTGTTTTCTAATGGTTAAATGCAACAAAATAATCTGAGACTGCAAATGAGAGAGCCTGACCAAAGTAAACAACTGAATACTCTGCATCCATGTCGTGGCCTTAAGCAAAGCTAGAAAAAAACAGGGAGAAGGGGACATAGATTCATCTGCTACCTTCAGGAGAAGTGAACCATCCTCACCACACCTTCTATGGGAGATGGGAAGCAGCTTCTTTAGTCACAACTATCACCTCATCACTGGATCCACTAGTGAATACAGGCATAGCGTTTGTTACTCAAGTCTGTCTATGCAGGTTTTTGGGTGCTTCATCTTAGTGTCCTCCTATTTCTAACATTTCAGGGCTTGCCAAGGCAGCAAATTGTTCCAACACAGAAGTCATACTATACTATTTAAAATACACTTTAAAAGATAAATATACATATATTTACAATATACATAAATCTTTACCATATATATAAAACCACACTAACTTAAATATACTAAGAACTGACGTTCTGGGACTAGCCTCTCCCCTCACATCTTGGATGATGAGCATAGCAGTTGGGTGTAAAGCCCACGCAGAGTGAAAAATTCAAACTCCTTTAGAAGAGGAGGTCTCTCATGAGACTTCGTTCCCAGAAGAAGCCATTGCACAACTGTCAAATGGAATAGCAGTAATTCTGGGTGGCTGGGATTCCACAACTGTACAATCAGGATGTTACGCATTTCTTTCAGGGCATCGTGCCAAATCTAACACCTCTTACAGAATAACGCAACTGTGCTCAGGATCAGAAAATGCTCTGGCACCGAGTTTGGAGCAATGAGCAGGGGCAAAACCAGCCCCATTTGGAAAGCTGTGATACATAAACCAGGTACTTCAAGGCGCAGGAGGAGAGATGAGACAGGAGGGTATGATTAGTACATCACCTCAGATCTGTTAACTATGCTCCCAGAAAAATGATCAGCTTCAATTGAGAATGTGAAGCGCACAGACATATTGAGTGTATTCTAGTCCTAGAAAACCTATTGTTTATGGGGAAGTGCAACCAGGTACTGGCTGTTTTCCACAGATGCCTTCATGGAGTACAGCAATGGAACACTTGAAGTCACAGGACCTAATGCAACAGCACATATCTTTGCTACATATCCAGCTCCGTATCTGTCCCTCATAAATGGATTTGCAGATCAGGTAAGTGCACTTGCTGTCTCGATTCAACAAATTAAACATACCAGAACCAGTACAATCAAGCAGTGAAAAAAACCCACACAGATCTCTAATGGGTATGATGAATCTCACCGTTTCGGTCATACATCAGTGTGTACAATAGCAATGAGAATGCAATGCTGTTTGTGGGGGTTACATTTGAGTCATATTTTATGAGCAAGATAATTTCAAGTTGTTCTTTTCACATACATCATATTAATTGTTGCACTTTGCATGTCTTTAATGAAATATATGTAAGAGGTTTTCCTCAGCATAAATCAATGTCTCTCCATAAGCATCAGCAGAGCTATGTCCATTTACATAAAAATCCAGCCCATTTTGTGGGGATGGATTTTTTACTATTCCTTATTATTCCTTAAGTAACACTTAAGTAACACACCTAGAGCAACTGAGTTTTCTGCTACCATAAGCCGCCCCTCCAACCTCTTTTTGCAACTAGATTTGTATTATTTGTTATTTTTCAAGTTACTAAATCTGAAAAAAAAATAATCTCCACCTTATTTCCAGTCTGTGTCCTCTAATCTCACTTATTCAACAGTGAAAAATGAAGTTTCAGAACTTTTATCTACCTCTGATCAGGTTATCTGTTTTCTTCAGGCATATATGAAATAAATATTGGATAAGTAAGCTATGAAAAACCGGGGATTGCTGGAGCACGGGAATTCCTTACATAAAGGACTTGAAGACTGTGAAATCTGGCTTCAAAAACACCTAAATATTACTTTGAAATTTTGTAAGAAAGACAATTCTGATCTTTGGATTGGTCAACAGACTTTTTCATAAGATCTTTTTACCCATCGATGTTTTAAAACAAACTTAAAAACAGATGAGGTAGAAGCAATTATTAAAAATCCCAAATGTAAACTGCATTAAATCAGTACAGAAATCCAGTGTTTTGACATCCCTGAAACTTTTATGTTTTTCGACTAAGTTAATTATTAGCAAAATTGACATTTACAAAGCATTTGATTTAAGCAGAGCAGACCTTTCATCAAAGTAATTCCAAGAAAATTTGCTTCATCAGCTCAATTAGCATATGCGATACAGAGGTCACGTTACAGTTACATGTGCAACCTTAATTGAGGTAATTCCTAATTTTTTAGCTGCTCAGTTTTGACTTTGCAGACTTCACTTTTTTTTTTCCCTTGCAGTATGCAATACCTGGATAAAGAGGTGCGTGTTTAGTCTAATTTATCAATGTAGGCTTCAGTCACATAAAACACTTTCATATCAATGTAACTGATTGAAAACACTTTCATATCAATGTAACTGATTGAAAACACTTTCATATCAATGTAACTGATTGGACTGGCATAGCAGAACTACCAAAAATCAAGTAAATGGAACTATGAAGTTGAAAGGAAAAAATCTGGAATCAAAACATAAGACCTTGCACAGAAGATACCTTTTGAATCCTCGATTCTTTCCACACCAGGTTGTTGCAGACTCTTTTTTTCAAATGTCCTCAGCACATTTCTTGTCTTTTGCAATTCAGCACAGATACCCAAACTTCTCATTATTGTGAAGTAGAGAGGCATTGCGTTCTAAATTTTGCTACTCTGTAGAGTGGGATAAATCTAAATACCAGCTCTAATCCAACACAACCCACAGAGCCGCCATAGCCCCTCTTTTCATTATGGGAAGGAATCTGCACATATTTATCCAATATTCTTTTCTTTGCATTGGCCAGGTGATGTCAACAGCTGTTCTTCTTCTGGCTATATTTGCTATTTTTGACACCAGAAACAACAGCGTACCGAAGGGCCTGGAGCCAATTGCAGTAGGACTTCTTGTAATTGTTCTTACTTGCTCCTTGGGAATGAACAGTGGCTGTGCCATGAACCCGGCCAGGGACCTAGGCCCAAGGCTCTTTACAGCCATTGCAGGATGGGGAATGGAAGTATTCACGTAAGTATGTCTGGATATGAAGTAAAATGCTCTTGACTAAAATTGCTTCCTAGGAAAGCAAGATCCTGATTCAACACGGTACCAGCTTATACTTTATATACATATAGGTAATTCTTTGCATACCACAAGAAGCTATTCATGCACTTTAAGCCAGACATCCTCTAGGAACAGGGCTTTAAAAAGGATTTCCTGGTCCCAGGGCAAATCAAACAAGCATTATCTCTAATATCAATCATTGTTTCAAGCAGACCCTTCCCAAAATATTAGAGATTCATAGAGGTCACTGAAAATATAAGAGTGCTTTCTTTTCTTGTCCTGCAGCTTTCAAGGGAAAAAAAAAACCAACCAGAAATCGTGAGAGGATTAGGTGGGAATATTTGTTAAGTGCTGTAAAAAACACAGACATATCAGATTGATTTAGCCTATTATTACTACTGACTTACTGCAGAAATATCCAGCAATCTAAAAGTCTAACTTCCTGTTTGGGAGCGGAGGAGTGAATGAAAGAAAACTGCCTTCATTTTCCCACATTTTAGTGCAGACCCTCAAATCCCCGTGCACGCATATGCGCACGCATACACATGGTCTTGGCTGGCCAAACGCACAGCTAATCAGCTGCACATCAAATCCGCAGCTCACACATATCCAGTGTAAGAGGCACTCTGGGATATCTAAGTAAGAGTAATCTGTCATCAGGAGGTAGATCTTTTGGCTTATTTTTGTATAGTTTGTTTTTCCAGTTATTTACAAGTAGGAATCCCCCAAAGTACTGTAGAACACTAGAGAGCTGGTTAATAGAGATTTCATTTTAGCTTCTTCACCAAGTACAAATAATCTGTATTTATTGAGTATGACTTCCATATACACAAATAATGTAGACTCTCTCCTTAGTAGAGAGCTGTAGCAAAGCTTTTCTTGTACAAAAAAAGCTAGGCACAACAGAAAAAAATGAGCACACAGACATGTCCTAGGCCAGATCCAAACCTTGGCTGTAACGCAGCTCTGGTGAGCAGCTAGTGTCAAGTCAGCCCAGTTACAGTCTGTGTCCAGGTCAGTGAGTGTTCAAATGCTGCCTATGGAGCAGCCAAGGGCTGCCAGGAAAGGCTCACTTTGGAATCGATCAGATAGAGAAGGATGAGATTATCTACACCCTGGTCCCAGGCAAATCCTCTAAACATTGAGATAATCAGTTCACAGTGGGGAAAACCCTCCTACCCTTCTTTGTGCTTGCAGGTTCAGTAAATTCTGGCTTTATCATATTCGCAGGCAGGGAACTGCAAGCAGAAGGGAGGGGAACTCTTCTACTGGACCATGGAGTTGTTCAAGGGATAGGGCAGCAGTTGAGCAGGGTTTCCTAAGCTTTCTTGTTATTACATTTTGCACAAAGGCACCTGAAGGAGCAGTTTTCCTGAGAATCAAGTCAGGGGACATGGGCAAGGATGCAGCTTCCCTAGCCCATGCAACTGGATTTGTTTTGGTTAAAAACTCCCATTAAAAGCTGTTCGGACCCACTGCAGCTGGAAAGGAGGCATCTTGTCCAGCACCCTATAGAGAACAACATTTCACACACAACAGATGTAGTCAGCACTGTGGCCTGCTCATGCAAACTGCTCCTCAACCCCTTGGGACTTGGATTCACAGATGGCAACTGTCCCTATCATTAGAGACAACTGCTGACTTTAGAGACCGAAATGTTTCTAATGATTTGTCCTAAAGGCATGGAGACAGCCAGGAGTCTTTCTTAAGCACATGCTTAACAGTCTAATAAGCTTAAGAAAAGTTTTGGGAAATGAAGTTTTGTCTGTAGTGAAGAAAACTGTTGGAGCTTTGAGCACAGATACTGAACTCTGGATTTTGACACACGTAACAGAGAGTGAAATGGCAACGAGAATGGGAGAAACGGCTCTGCAGAACACCCTTCGTACCAGCATTTGAAGCCAGCCATAGCCTATTTCACCCCTGGTTTATGATGGTCCTTTCGCACCTTAGCTGAGGCCAGCTCTGGCTGGCGATGGCAGCAGTAAGGACACGGATTTGCCTTGCTCTGCCCAGCGAGGCGGGAGCCGCCGGCGCGGTAACGCTGACACCTCGTGGCCGCCGGCCCCGGGGAGGCCGCGCTGGACCAAACTGTGTTTTAGAAAGGGTTAGGAGGCGCATCTCTTGGCTGCACAGGGATTTGGATGGCAAAGTGGCCTCTGAAACATTTTGCATTCGTGCCAGAGCACAGAACAGTAGCCAGACGACTTTCACACTGTGAATGCCAGACCTACCCTGGCATTTCTTACAGCAGTGTTACCTCACCATGCTGCAACAGTTGGCTTGGTGAGAAATGTACTTGCAAGTCTAAAATGGGCCAAAGTTCCCAGACCATGTAGCTTACATGCTGTAGTTTCCTGGAGATTTTTGCGGTTAACCAAGCTGCCGCTTGTCAGACCTGGGCACTGCCTCCTCCCCTTCACAGCCAGCTCCCTCCTGCTCTGCCCGGCAGCAAAAACACCTGATGACGACAAAGGCGTAGTTGGATATTTCCCTACTAACTTGGCAGCAAAGCTGTGAGCTGGGGTAAAACTAGGATATAAGGGAACTAAGGTTACTTCGGTGAAGCTATCTGTGCTTGTCACAAAGAGATCTTGCTCCTGTGTCAATGGAGGAGGATTGAGTGTCATGGAAACTTGTAACTCAGCCGTGTCCTGATCTCATTTCAGCCTTGGCATCACACTCAGTAAAGACTTTACACCCATCACCTTAGCAAGGGGTGTCTAAAGCACAGTGGACAGCAGCTGCTGCAAATGCAGGCCATGATTTGGAGAAGGTCATGCAGGAGCAAATGAGGCACATGTCAGTTCACGGAACAAGTTGAGAGAGAAACCTGCCAAGAAACACCTTCATTATATGCCCACATACACATGCAGGCACACACAAAGGAATACGTGCAAGTACTTGACATAGATTTTGTTGTGCTGATTATTTCAATAAAACCTTAGCCCATTCTTGTTCCACAAATTCAGGGGCTTAACATCCGTGACTCCACAGTGAACAGATCTATAAACTCAGTAGAACAGTATCAGGAGTTATTTTATATCCTCAGGGCAAAATACGAATAATTCCAAAGGCCAAACAGACGCATCCAAGGCATTTCTGAACAAGGAATATTATCAATAGAGCACTGTGAGATTAGCCCAGCTGTTTTTCTTTTATTCTTGTGTTGTGACTTAACCACAAGTTCACTTCTGCATAAATCTATACAAGTGAGTGCTAAATAATTATCCTTACAGTTTAAATATTCCCCCAGCAGCTTCCTTTAAAGTTCCTCACATAGATTGATTTGTCTCTATGTATTTCTGGGAGGAAAAAAATGTTACTTCTCCATTTTCAATATGCATGAAACTGGGTTTTCACTGCAGACTCACATATTCAATTAACACAGCACGTTATCAAATCAAAACATCTTCCTGCACCAGTACAGTTAAGCAAATCTGTGCTCTGAAACTGGTACTCAGTAATTTACTGTCTGTAAACGTGGATCTCCAGGAAAGGGGGAGCAATTCTACAAGCCCAGGTCTCCTGCGTAAAGAGGTTGTTATTTATTGTTTTATACCATTTGATGGTGGACTTGGTTCTATTAAAATGTTCATAAATCTACACACTTAAAATTCAATCTTAATAATTGTCCAAAGTGAATGTAAACATTTCAATGGGGCCCTTATGCTGGACTTTCTTACTAAACACAGCAATTCTAAAAAAGATTAAGTTTTAGGCATATAAAACTTATAAACTCTTATTTACCTCTAACTGAAAGACCCCGCATTTTAAACACGGAGCTAAGACTCTACATCATGAAATTTGAAACCTGACCGCTCCAGTCAGGTATAATCCACTTTACAGTCACTGTGTTATATTACATTCCTTAAGGCAAATGTACCTACAATCAAGTATAATCTATTATACTTGTCAAGAGGAACACCATATATACTATTGCAGGCCCAAACCTGCAAATCTCCATGCGGATGAGATAACCCATGTTTGCAACATACAATTGCATCAATCATTCCTGAAAACGTATTCATGAGCATCTGTCAACAGCATCAGTTAAGATTGCTGTGCAGTAAGTATGGCCCTGTTCATTTCATTTGAAGTCATTTTCCACAAGGGAGAAATTATCCCCTGCCCCCAAAACAGGTGATAAAGAGGCCCTATTTTCTAAGGTGCAAGTGCAGCACGCAGACCAACATGCCTGGTGGTTGTTGCTTGAGGATTTAAATCAGAACATGGGCAGGACAGACAGGTGTGTCATCCATTTACAGAGCTGAGAGACAAAATAGAAAGGTCTACAGCACAGTGGGTGTCACACCATGTTCACTGCCAAGCAAAAGGTAGGGTGTTCACTAGAGTAACAAATGATGATAATTCTTGTTCTTTTTTTTTTTCCCTTCCAGGGCTGGAAATAATTGGTGGTGGGTCCCTATAGTTGCACCTATGCTGGGAGGTGTACTTGGAGCAATAATCTACATTACTTTTATTGAAATTCATCACTCAGATACTCAGCCAGGAGAAGAAAACGACGTGTATGATAAATATGAACTGACCAATATGGAGTAAGAAGTGAAGAGTTTTTCTCTCTCATTTTGTGGTGCAGTTGTAATGCAAATGATTGTTTGGACCATTTGATAAAACCACCATGCCTCAATTAGAAATTCACATGTCAAAGCAGAAAATCCATATAGGAGACAAGTTCAGAACTGACCTCTTTCCATGAAACATCAGGCTGGTCACATTCAAAACTGGGAGCTTGGGGATGGGATGGGTCAATTGTTGCTCTCTTCATATGGCTTTCAGATCAAGTTATCTCCTAGATGAAATTGCAGTGAAATGATGCATTGACCTGTTAATTCAACACCCATGATCTTAATCATGTTGCCTAATTAACAGAAAATAGATGAAATATTGTTGTGAAACTGCATACATAGGTAGTTAATTGGTTCAGTGCTGAATTAACGTGCAAGAGCATCTCTCACTTCTTACAGTCATTATTTAAGAATGGCTTGTCTGAAAACTAAAAACAATACCCAAATTGCCTAAATGTCAATCGCAGTAGTTTTAGAAAACTTTACTAAATTTATATTCGTGTTTATGGAACACTGACTGAAAAGGAAGGCATCAACTCATCAGTGATGAGGTTTAGTAACTCAGAATATGATCACAAGAGGTAAAAACTGTGTGTTATGAGACCATTACCAAAAAGACAAAGCTGTACTCCTGCACAGGTTCTTCATAGCAATAGTGTTCTGTTATTTTTAAACTATTTACTTAACCTTGATGCTGCTCAATATTAAAAGCCTAACCAGAAATATTAATCTGAACCTCTTCCGCTGTACTTTCTGGATAAAATTCATTCCTGTGGAGATGGGCCAACAACAGAGGCTTATGCTGTGCAGAGGTCAGCACAAGGCCTTTGTCTGTATAACTTTAAAGAGGCCTTCTGCTGCTGATCTACATGGGGGGCTTTCATCTGCTTTGTGGGAGTAATTCTTATTTTGGGAGCAGTAATTAAAATTAGAAACTGGTCTCAGACCTAGTCCTAGATTTGAATTCCCCAAGGGAAGCCAGTTTCACATCAGAGTTCTGAAGCGTGGGTTCTCTCTCACTGAAGAGAAGTGGTTAGACATGCACCACTTCTGAAATATCCAGCCTTGAAAACTGAAATTATATCTGCTTAATCATTGTGAATTGAATGTATCTGATTAAATCAAAGTTCATTTATATATATACATATATATGATTGATGGTGGTGATAATGAATAAATAGACATACGATTCAGTGATGCTCCTAAGCCATTTTCATGGCAAAACTTCAGGGTACCAGTTCAATGCACTCATTTTAGGGTGCTCTTCGCTTTGGATTCCTACAATTCTGCACCCTAGAATTCCCCACTGTTTTCTGATTTCACTTCTGAAGGGAGGAACCTTTCGCATTGCAAGTAATAGCTTGTGCACTTTGGCAAGGCATCTGCAGATGTGGTTTGGAAAATATGGTGGTCAGAATCTGTGTTTGGGCAGATCAGGCCTGTGTCACTGCATGTCTTTATTAGTCTCCCTGGTATGCCCCATCTGATTCATGGTAACAAAGGGATGGAATCAGCAGATCAAGGAAAGCTTTGCTTGCTGCAGCTTCAAGTCAGATGATGCTGCATAGTCAATGGAGTATAATTCCAATTTGAATTATTTTTTCAGACGAAAGCTTTCGGAACTGTGATGAACTCAGGTTGCCCAGAAACCATATAAAACCCGTGCAAAATGCTCGTTTGATTCACCATTTCTCTGCTGTGGGTTAAAAAATGATATAGCTATATCCATCCATATTTGACTGTGTTGTATCATTATCTGGAGAGCCACAATAAGAAGAAGGGAAGGTTTACAGGATCGGTCTTCAATCTGAGCAAAGGAAGATACAGGAGAATCAAAAGCACAATATGGAAAGCATTCCTAACTGTAGACCTTGAACTAGCTTGTCTGTGCTGCCAATACATCTGTCCTGTATATTCATAAATTGTACTACATAAAACAAGATGGTGTGTAAAAGCAATTGCAGACTAAGCCTCCTTTTGCCCTCCCTTGCAACAAGCGCTGCCTCTCCCCCCTTGGTGATACCTGGCAGGAGCATTCCAAGGTGGTTGCCAAGACTCAGTGTCTGGAAGGGGATTTCATAGGTAGGAGCTGTCAGAGGACTGCCCTCAGGTCTGGAAGGCACTTACTCTTCCACTAGTGCCAACATCTAACGTGAAATATCTGTGCAGAAAATAAAAATAGGCAGCTAATTAACCAGAAATAACCAATTTTGTCCAAAATGGTAGGGGCACGTTATCACTTATTGTGCTAGAATTTTGCACAAACAGTAGAATTCACATGCCTCAGGATATTGCTTCCTTTAACACACCACGGAAAACATGGGGGAAAACAGAATACAGGTCAGGAATGAAAAAGGGACAGTTTATTTATACAAGGTACTGAGTGACCAGCCCATGCTTATCATGTGTCTGTGCGTTGGCCAAGGTACAAAAAAGTTGTACATTTTCTCAAAATCCTTCTGATCACAACAGGTTCTGCCTGTAAATCAATATGAAATCTCGTTCCTCCTACCTATACAGAAATCCAGTGCGTAGGAACAGCACGAGTGATATTTACCTGTCTGAAGTCACCAACATGCAAATCGTAAACAGTGACACTAGTGTGAGTAACATCTAAAATACAGACTCAACAAGTTGTTGCCAGTTCTGCCTTTGCTTAAATAACTTATTTTTAAGCTTTAATTATTAATCACTGAATATGTTTGCAGATTTGTTGAAGACACACAGTGCTAATACCACAATCCATACTGACATCGCAAAAGCCAGAATTCCATTCAGGAACAAGGTGTCATAGACCTGTTTCAGATTTGAATAATTTATATTTAGAAGTAAAAAAATGAATTCCAGCTTTAGGGACAAAACTCAGTTGTGTCTTAATTGCAGAACCACAACTGGTATCTTCATAATATAATGGGAACAACAATAATCATCTCATGGTATAAGTTTACACAGACAACACATTCTGGTTTGTGCAAGAGAAGTATTTTTACTTGGCATAAACTATGCAGTTTTCCAATATCAACTGATATTCAGTGGTCCCGCTCATGTCGAATTAATATAATGGAATTGGCAACAAGAAACAAGTTTTCAGCTGTAAGATGTTAATGAATTAATAGTAACCAGGCTTGATTGTTTTAACGTTGGGAAAAAACCTCACTTTCAGAGCATTGCTCAACTTTCTGTCTGGGTTTGTTCTTTTTCATTTTTTTGGGCAATATGTTTGTTCATTAGAGCTAAACTTAGTACTGAAGTGATTTGGAAAGTGATCCTGCAAATAGTACTGGGTTAAGGTTGGCTACTGCCTGATGTTTCATAGAAGCCAGTGGAATTATTCACAATGAGATGCAATACAGGCAAGGATAAGTACTCAGAGAATTGAGTTCAGAGTATAGTGGAAACTCTACTTTCTTCTAGTTTTCACTGTGGATCCAGATGAATGTTTTGTGGTTCAAAATAAATACAGTCAAGTCCTAATAAAAGCATTCCAGTACTATTTTTATTTTTATTTAAAAAAAACCCCTCTGGCACCTAAGGACATATAAAGAAATAAATAGCTGCGTATTATGGCCTACAACGTTTTATAGCTTTGTGCTGGAAGAACACATCGACTAACAAGCCGTGTTCTCAGAGTGCATGCCCTGTGGCAGATTTCACAGGTCAGAAGTAGTGCCAAAGCAGAGAAATGCTCACGTAAAAGTAATGGCCAGGAGGCATCTGTGCAACGAGAGGTCCCGGCCCCTCACCTCTGGACCTTCTCCCTGTTCCTGTCTGCAGCCTGCCTAGGGATGCTTGCTGCCCCAGCTTTCCCACCTGAACCAGGTGGGATGTTTTGCTTAGGTTTCTCTCCAGAGATTGCTTTTAAGGCATGCATATAACACATCAGATTTGGCCTACAGTGCTTACAGAACGCTGCAAGGTAATTTAGCTATTTTCTACTCTACAGATTTGTAGTAGGGACAAGGTTTGCTTGTTTCATTTAAAAATCACATGAAAACCTGTTCTGTGGGGGAGAAGGAAAGATTAGTAGCTTCAGATTTACTCAGGAAGCCAAAAGGGGAAAAAACACCAAGCAAATAAAAAACCCCACAAAGAAACCTCAAACCAATCTGAAGTAGCAGCAGACACTTTATCCTCCACCCATCCTCATGACCCTTACCTCGGCATCAGTCTCTCTGATTTTCTGTTCTCCTTTCTTTCCCCTGCCAACACTGCGTGCTGTGCTCTGTTCTGTCTCTATACAGTACAATACATCTCCAGAGATTCAAATGCAGCATGCTTTTCTCAGTTACTTATGAATCTTAGAAAGTTCTCATGAGAGCAAATTCAAGTTTCACCTCACACGCTTGTTTTTTGGCAGTTGCTTGCATTTTTTTCCCCCACTGTTCCCACCAAACAACCTTGTGCTGGAAAATACAACAATTAACTGTAAATTCCAGCAACAGCTGCTCTTTTTCTGGTTAGTACAATTGCTGTTGCATAACAGATTACTTCTTTCAAACATGTACAATTTTTAAAGCCTTCCGTTTTCAAACCACTATTACAAAATAGTGCAAGATCATCCAGACAAAAATACTCAGTGAGTAGTTTGGATTTTTATCTTCTATTTTGCACTTACAACTTGTTAAAAAAATATATGTAATTATTGTACTCTGAGTGTTAGTGTCGTTATGGTTATTTTCACACACCAATTGGCATAGTCTCAGAGCAAGAAGTAGTAAGTAAATGTTTTTAGCCATTGGCGTTCCTTTGCACGTTTGAATCAAATATTAAAGAAACCCATATAGTATGAAGCTAGACATGACACATTTATGTATTTTTTTCTCTATTTGCTGACAACAACTTCCTCCAAAAGGTGTTACTAAGAGAGGGAATATGAATATTGCAGCAATGATCAAGCTTTCTGGCTGGATGACCCAGTTAGCTCCTTTTCCATGACGGGGGAAGACAGACTGAGACAATTCCTCCCTGGTCTGCCTAGGGACTGAGCAGTCTGCTTTAAATTCTTAGAAATCAAGCTTCACTTTCACACTCCAAACATTGCTCCAACCATCCAGAGACCGGTAATAAATATCCTACTACATGCTACGCTGACAAATGGAGTGATAATAAAGAAAGAGAGAAAACTACTAGTAAAAGCTGGTAAACCAAAATAAGCCCTTTT